GAGCGCCCAGCTGGCGCGCAGGAGGAGTCGAGGGTCGAGGGTCGAGGAGGAGGAGGAGGAGGAGGAGGAGGAGGAGGAGGAGGAGGAGCAGGAGGCAGAGGAGGAGGAGGAGGAGGAGGAGGAGAACGAGGAGGAGGAGGTGGCGGAAGAGGAGGAGGAAGAGGAGAAGGAGGAGGAGAAGGAGGCGGAGGAGGAGGAGGAGGCGGAGTAGGAGAATGAGCAGGGGGAGGAGGAGGAGGCGGAGGCGGAGGAGGAGGAGGAGAACGAGGAGGATGAGGAGAAGGAGGACATATAATAATAAAATAAGAATAATAATAGTACCACTAATCATAATATTGATAATGATAATGCTAATAATGCGAATAACAATAGACAGAAGAAACATACTATTATGATTGCATCATAACAGTGATAATCGTAGTAATAATCATAATCGCGCAGTAACAAAAATAGTAATAAACACACTAATACGACTCATACTACTAATCCTAACAAGAATAACAATCATGATGTGACTAATGTTAAGGTTAATACTAATAACAACAAAAACAATACTACTTCTTGAAAAGTATGCATCGTATTTTCAATGATACGAATACTAATAATTATCCCAGAGCGACCCTACCTAGGAGTTTGAGCCCCTAGGAGAGCAATATTAGTAGTAATGGTAAACGCCGTCCTCCTCCTTCTCCTCATCGTCGCAGTTGTAGCAGTAGCGGTAGTAGTAGTGTTATGCTATGCTATCCTGCGCTATGCTATGCTATAATATGTTATGCTGGGCTATTCTATGCTATGCTAGGTTATGATATGGCATTATATGCTGCGCTATGCTATGCTATGCTATGCTATGCTATGGTATGCTGTGTTGCGCTATGATCTGATATGCTATGATATGCTATGCTGTGCTGTGCTGTGCTTTGCAATGCTATGCTGCGCTGTGCTATGCTAAGCAATGCTATGTTATGCTATGCGATGCAATGCTATGATATGCTGTGCGATGCTATGCAGAGCTATGCTATGCTATGCTATGCTATGCTATGCTATGCTTGGCGATGCTATGCTATGCTATGCTGTGCTCATGCTGCGCTGCGCTATGCTGCGCTAAGCTAAGCTAAGTTAAACTAAACTAAGGTGTGTTAAGCTAAGCTAGGCTAGGCGAAGCTAAGCTAAGCTAAGCTAAACGAAGCTCAGCTAAGCTAAGCCATGCTAACCTAAGCTAAGCCAAGCTCAGCTCAGCTAAGCTAAGCTAAGATGAGCTAGGCTACGCTTAGCTAGGCTAGGCAAAGCTAAGCTAAGCTGATCTAAGCTAAGATGAGATAAGCTAAGCTAAGCTAAACTAAGCCAAGCTAAGCTTAGCTAAGCTAAGCTAAGCTAAGCTGGGTGAACCCAGGGGGCGGGGACTGGGGGAACCGCGGGGCGGGGACTGGGGGAACCGCCCGGGGCGCTTAGCACTGCCCGGCCCCTTTAAGCTAAGAGAGTAAGAGCCCTCTAGGCAGAGCCTAGGTAGGGAATAACAATACTTATAATAGCAATCATAATAACAGTACTAATCATAATAATAATAATCATAAATAATAATAACAATAATATGAGCAATGAGAAGAATAAACATAATAATAATGAGAAGAGGAGGAGGCGGATGAGGATGAGGATGATGATGATGAGGAGGAGGAGGAGGAGGAGGAGGGCAAGAGGGTGCACGCGCGCGCCGCTGGCTGGCGAGGGAGACAAGGCGGGGTCGGGGAGCCTTGAGATCCTGGTGCTTGATTTTTTTACACCTGGCGTTGTCGCCCAGTGCCGGGCCGTGGGGCCCTCACAGATCGATCCGGCTCGAAAAATCACGCAGAAAGATGGGGTTTGAGGGTCCGGCGTTTTTTTCGCGATGTTGCAATGTATCCGCAACGTCGGATCTCAGGGAGGGGGGAGGGGAGGAAAGGGGGGAGGGTAGGAACGTCGGAGTGCGATGGGCTTCTTCTCTCCCTTGGCACCGCTCGGGCGCGTGCATTTTTCTTTGCATCCTGAGTCATCCAAGAAACACACATCGAAACATTTTTCATCGGCGGCGAGGCAGAGGCGGTCCGCTCTAGCGCGTGGCAGTTCGGGGCAACCGATCAGCTAATTGGCCGGCATGCAAGAGAGGAACCAGCACGAGGGCGACCATGTCCTCCTACAGGCGGATTTTCATGTTCTGACTATGTTTGGTGATTCCTGCTGTAGAGGGGCATGCCCGACTTAATTCAAGGGGCTCAACTCAAGGATTCCCCATGTGGGCGATTTCGGAAACCCTGAACCCAAAGACGGTTTCATTTCCTGGGGGTGCATCTGTTCCTTCTGCCGACTTCCACCGCCCTTCTGCTGGTTTCCGCCGGCGTAGGCGGCCTCGTGTTACTTCCGCCGACCTTCCGCCGAGGAAGAGTTGACAACTCCTGCGATTCGCGAAGGCAAGGCCATTTTTGGAACGCCCCATGTGAGCGACGTAGAATCAGAGCGTGAATTACCTCCCCCGCTTTCGCTTCCAGGCAAAACCAAGTCATACCAGGCGCCTGTTCGTCAGGCGGCCTGACCAGTACAGACCGCAATTTGGCATCGCTTGGTATCTCTTGGAAGCGAGGGTGGTCAAAGGCGAGGTAGGTTTGCTTTCCCCCTATAGAAAACGTGGTGGTCTTCACCGACATTGGCGCGTAAGCTGCCCGCGTAAGGGCGCGCGTGGGCGCCCTCGTTGCCGATGCAGCGTGCCGCGCTGGCGGCCGCGCAAGCCGCCGCGTGAGGTCGCTACGTCATCTCGCGCAAGGCGCTCTTTGTTTCCGTCGCTCGTGTGCTGCTCATGGGTCTTGTGACTCCCCACCCTTCCGGGTGTCCTGCGCTCCAAGTTGGCCTGGAGGGGAGAAGGAGGTGCTAGGTATCGCTCGGATATGTGCGTTTTCTTCCCCACATGTTTCGTGGGGTTCTGGTTTTCTTCCCTGCCGCGTCGCACCCGCGAGTTTCCCTCACCTCCTCCTCCTCCTCCTCCTCCTCCTCCTCCTCCTCCTTCTCCTTCTCAGCGCACCACAGCGCAGCAGAGCACAGCTCATCTCAGCACAGCTCATCTCAGCACAGCACAGCTCAGCACAGCACTGCACAGCACAGCACAACACCTCAGCACGCACAGCTCAGCATTGCACAGCACAGCACCTCTGGACACCATAGGGGGTGCGCAGCAGGTGGTCTCTGAGCGCGGCCGCCATCCACGGCACTGTCGCAAAGCCTAGCAGGCGTGGCACTTTCTGGACACCATACGGGGTGCGCAGGGGGTGGTCTCTCAGCGCGGCCGCTATCCACGACACTGTCGCAAAGCCTAGCAGGCGTGGCACTTTCTGGACACCATAGGGGGTGCGCACGGGGTGGTCCCTCAGCGCGGCCGCTATGCGCGCCTTTCGTCCAGGCACAGCAGGCGTGCCACCTCCTCGACACCAGATGGGGTGCGCAGGGAGTGGTCTCTCACCGCGTCCGCTATGCGCGCCCCTCGTCCAAGCACAGCACGCGTGGCACTTTCTCGACCCTAGTGGGGGTGCGCAGGGAGTGGTCTCTCACCGCGTCCGCTATGCGCGCCTCTCGTCCAGGCACCGCAGGCGTGGCATTTTCTCGGCACCATCAGGGGTGCGCACGCGGTGGTCTGTCACCGTGGCCGCAATGCGCGCCTCTCGTGCAGGGCATAGCAGGCGGGGCATTCTCTCGACACCAGAGGGAGTGCGCGGGGGGTGGTCTGTCACCGCGGCCGCTATGCGCGCCTCTCGTCCAGGGCACAGCAAGCGTGGCACTTCCTCAACACCATAGGGGGTGCGCATGGGGTGGTCTGTCACCGCGGCCGCTACGCGCGCCCCTCGTCCAGGCACAGCAGGCGTGGCACTTTCTCGACACCAGAGGGGGTGCGCAGGGGGTGGTCTCTTACCGCGTCCGCTGTGCGCGCCCCTCGTCCAGGCACAGCAGGCGTGGCACTTCCTCGACACCAGATGGGGTGCGCAGGGGATGGTTTCTCACCGCGGCCGCTATGCACGCCTCTCGTCCACAGCGTAGCAGGCGTGGCACTTTCTCGACCCTAGTGGGGGTGCGCAGGGGGTGGTCTCTCACCGCGGCCGCTATGCGCGCCCCTCGTCCAGGGCATAGCAGGCGTGGCATTTTCTCGACACCATCAGGGGTGCGCAGAGGGTGGTCTTTCACCGCGGCCGCTACGCGCGCCTCTCGTCCAGGGCATGGCAGGCGTGGCATTCTCTCGATACCAGAGGGAGTGCGCCGGAGGTGGGTTCTGTCAGAGTGTAGGGCGAGCGGCATTTTCAGGAGGACGCAAGAGTGCACAAGCCTGAGGGGGGCGTTATCATCATCATCAGCATCAGCATCAGCATCATCACCATCGTTATCAAGAGCTGTAGCCATCTTGGCCCATGCTGGTTCACGCAGCAAGATAGGTGAAAGCTGGCGACCGCCAGTGATTCTCCGTCAAAGGTAAGTTCCCTGTCATGTCGCCCAAATGCGCCATCACCGCGTTGCCACCTTCGCGCGAGCAGCTCAAGAACACAATGTTGGAGATGGGCGCCCAGGTGAACCTAAATGGTTTGCGCGCATATGTTGTGAGGCATGGGAACGTGTTGGTACACAGCGCACTTCATTCTTACTGCCGACAGCTTCTGACTTGGTGGCCTGGGATGTTCCTCGCCAGGTACAACAGTTTGCTGCGTCAACGAGGCGACGACGATGCAAGGAGGCAGTGCTTGGCCAGGTACTTGCAGAACCCTTTTTCCGGCGGGTTCCTAGCTGATCAGCTGGGGGTGGCGGAGGGTGGCGATGGCTTGCCGTTGGTGAAAGTTCGGCGGGTCGGCGACGCCGGCAACGGGCGCGTCGCCGCGCCCGCGCAGGACACGCCCACGAATTCCAAGCCCACGCAGGCCATCGCCCCCCAGCGGTCCCCAGCAGTTCTGCTTGCTACCTCTGTTCTTTCCACAAGCACCCCTCGCACCCAGCTGCCC